GACAGGCACAGCGGAAACAAAAAGAAAGTTGTGACATAGAAATAAGACCTAGAACTCTGGAACAAGGGCAGCAAGTCTTATTACTCCTCCCTTCAGATGCAGCCAAGTTGTTTGCTCAGTGGCAAGGGCCATATGAAGTAATCACGTGTTTATATTGCCCTCGCTATTCTGAATCCCATGCTCAATATCTGGGCTCAATATTGCTTAAGGTAAGAGGGTGGGTGGTCAGGTATAGACAGGATGTGCTTTCTGTTAAATGACAGGGTGGAGAAAGTAGCATGCTTCTTAGTACACATAGTGAACATGCCAAAAATAGCACAATTTGAACCAGCACTCCCTCCTTGAGCCAGGTTTAAAGAGCTTCTGATGTAATCACTGGGCTAATTACGACAATGAGATTTTAAATTATTATTATTATAAGGTACATAGGATAGGGTGAAGAGTGTGTCTTGTAGCATAAATAGTAAAACTACAATGAATCTGAACAAACTTTGATATTGTTCCAGAAAGTTGCAAACACGTTTTACTGAATGTAGTTTTTGACTACGTGTTTTGTATATGCCAGTAAAGGTGTGTTGTTTTTTTTTTATTTGATTAGAGCCTGAAAGAGAAAGGCAAGGGGTGGGGTGGGGTGGGGCTGGAGGGTAAGCTAGGAGCAAAAATTGTATGATATTGCATATAATTATTCTTGATTACTTCATGTGTCTCTTACTAAATTAGCCTTACCTTTTAATTTCCTGGTCTACTGGCATTTGAGTCACCACAGACTAAGCCCTGTTCTTAAAGTGACAGGTTTTTTTGTTTTTGTTTTTGTTTTTTGCTATTGTATTTCTACAATAAGGAAACTTGTGACAAGTTGTCTCACCTAATCTTACTCAGTGGCCACTGTGCTTGAATTGCTTCCTTAGGCAGTCTTTACAAGGGATTATAAATAGATTCAAATCTTCAAAATTGCTGCCAGTGGTGGTGTCAACATTCAGATTGCACTTTGCTATGTAAAGCTTGGCATCCCTTTCCCAGCTGGCAATGAAGGCAGCAATATCTGGCCATTTCCTGGCTTTTTGAATCATGGGAAAGAAGCAGAATTTCCCACATTCATAAACTGGAGGTTTTAGAGTTGAATTTCCTGTTGTTCTTTTTAAACAGGACTTTAAATATACATAAGTTGCACACAAATTCAATCAGAAATTCTCCTTGTATAGAATTACCCAATGGTAGAGGATTCCAGAAGATGAGCATACGGTCTGTACTATGGTTACTGGGTGAAGACAAGAAGCAGAATTTCCCACATTCATAAACTGGAGGTTTTAGAGTTGAATTTCCTGTTGTTCTTTTTAAACAGGACTTTAAATATACATAAGTTGCACACAAATTCAATCAGAAATTATCCTCGTATAGAATTACCCAGTGGTAGAGGATTCCAGAAGATGAGCATACAGTCTGTACTATGGTTACTGGGTGAAGACAAAAATGAGAACAGCTTGGATGTGGCTATAGTCCCTCTGTGCTAAAATATTTTGAAGAACTGCTTTGGAGTTAAAGAAATGATGAAGCAAAGGTGTGAGTAGGCACATACAGTGGAGAAACATACACATCTTGTAATCATTTGGGCAAACTAATATTTCCGTCCCCATTCCACAGATGCAGACTAGAAAGCTATGTTCCAATTTCCAAAGTCTTTCCATGAGTTAGGCAAGCCGAGGAAGAAAAGTCACATTGGAGCAAAAGTGCTAGGGACATATCTGACCAGAGCACAAAGTGCTGACCTCTGAAGATGCCGGCCACAGAGACTGGTGAAACGTTAGGAAGAACAACCTTCAGAACACGGCCAAAGAGCCTGAAAAACCGACAACAACCATTATACTTCTGTTAATGCAGCCTAAAACAGCATTTGCCTTTTTTGTAGCCACATCACATTGCTCATTCATATTCAGCTTATAACGTACAATGACTACAAGATTCTTCTCACTTGTAGTATTGCTGAGCCAGGTACCCCTACCTTGTAATTTTGTGTTTGGTTTCTTTTTCCTAGATGCAATACTTTGCACTTATCTCTGTTAAATTTCATTCTGCTGTTTTCAGCTCAGTGCTCAAGCCTATCCAGATAAGTTGAATTTTTCTTCTGTCTTCCAGGGTATTTGCTATTTCATCCAATGTTGTGTCATCTGAAAATTTGATTAGAATTCCCTGTACCCCCTGATTCAGATCATTAATAAAAATGCTGAAGAGCACCAGACCGAGGACTAAGCCCTGGGGTACTGTCGTTGTTACCTCCTCCCAGTTTGAGAGGGAGCCATTAATCATCACACTCTAAGTATAAGAGTGGTCTTATAGGCCAGATGGGCGGGGTATAAATCAAATCAAATCAAATCAAATCAATCAATCAATCAATCAATAAAGTACAGTGGTGCCCCGTATAGCGAGGTTAATCCGTTCCGGATTAACCCTCGCTATACGGAATCATCGCTAAACGGGTAGGGGAAAGGTATTGGAACGCATTAAACTTCGTTTAATGCGTTCCAATACCTTCGTTACTTACCTGTTCAGCGAGGATTCCAGGTGCCGGCAGCCATTTTCGCGCCTTCGCTAAGCGAGGGCAGGGCGCGAAAACGGCTGCCGGCAGCCATTTCCGGGCTTCCGGTGGCCATTTTGGAACCGCCGATCAGCTGTTCGGCGGCTCCAAAATGGCCACCGCAATACCCGATCTTCGCAATGCGGGTTTTCCCCTTTGCAAAGATCGGGTATGTTTCCGTATAGCGATCCCGAAAAAGGGATCGCTATACGGAAACATCGCTATACGGTGCACTCGTTAAGCGAGGCACCACTGTACCGTATTTTTCACCCCATAAGATGCAGCAAATTTTTAGAACAGGAAAAAATAATCTGGAATTTCGGCCTGTTGGACCAGCGGGGATGAGAGTGGGGGAAGCCTCCAAAGGGTCCGAGAGTGCCTTCCAGGACCCTTCATTTAAGATGACAGCATCAGAGCTGAACAAGAATATACTATCAAAGGGCATTAAATTAAATACAGTATATCCTCCTACAACTTCAACCAGAATTTCAGACCAACTGTTATTTAGTACAGCTCTCAAGTGGAGCAGAATAACAAATCACACAATTTGCTTTACCTTCTTTGAATGCCAAATGGAGACAGGTGATAAAGAAAGCACTCATGCACAAGCTATGAAGTTTCCCCCAGAAATTAATTCTATCCCCCAGATTCCTATCAGAAAAATTCCCAAAATGGCACACAAATATGCGGTCCTGGAACACACTCTAGGACCCTTTGGAGGCTCACCCAGGCCCCCTGCGGGGCCAGAGGGGGCAAAATCGCCACCTTCAGGGACTCTTCTGAAGCTTCCCAAGCCTAAAGAGTTCCTGAAGGTGGCAATTTCGCTCCATAAGACGCATACACTTTTCCCCAACTTTTTTTTGGGAAAAGTGCGTCATATGGAACGAAAAATACGGTATGTTTCTGTAGCCAACTGTGTATCCACCTGACACTTGTTCTATCCAGCCCACACTTAGTTAGTTTGCTAAACTGAATATAATGGGGCACTTTGTCAAAAGCTTTGCTGAAGTCAAGATATACCGCATTCCCTCTGTCTACCAGGCAGGTGACCTGATCAAAAAACAAGATCAGTTATTGACAAATCCATCTCGGCTTCTACTTATTACTCCATTTTTTTCTGAGTGCTTGCACAGTGACTGCTCAATAATCTATTCCAGAATTTTCCCTGGGATTAATGTTGTTGAGGGAAAGATTTCTCATCTTCATATAAAAAGCAGGTTTCAGATTTTCTCCCCCAACTCTGACCACACTTGAAGGTACTGGCTTCTGTCGTAAAAGCGAGCTTCCTAAGAAACTGCTTTTACACAGAACAGAGAGGGGTCCAGGATGATCAGTTCCTACTCAGGTAAAACCGCGTCCTTTAATTTTACCCTAGGCAACTTTTCCAGCCTTTCTCCCAAGTCTGCTCCGATTTTTAAATAAAAAACTTCCAGTCATTCTAGAATATTTACTCCTCTTTATCTTATATGTAGGACCCTAAATTGGTAGTATGTGCGTGGCCTGATTAAATAAATCAATTTTAAATTAGCCAATTAACTAGAGTAGCTTGACGGTCTATTCAAGAAGCCAACGTACAAACAGCCTTTTTATATTTTATTAAAAAGATACGAGATTAATTTGAAACACATTTAGATAAGCCAATCTTTACACAAATAATCATTTCCAAATTACCCCAGCCGATACCAACAAACATTTCCTCTATAAAAACGAAAATAACAACCAATCTAACTACATTTCTAAATAGGATTTTATCTTACGGTTAATTAGAAAAATAAGAGTCCTTTAGTAGCTTTTTCTCTGCTGAAATTCATGCTGCGTTCCGGCAGTCGTCCGGGCTGTGTCACCGTCCATCTCCTCTTCCTTCTCTCTTCTCCCATCTTTCTTAAATTAACAAGTTATGTCCTTGCCCGATGGAGTTTAGATAAGATAAAGGTCATCTTGCCCTTCTTGACTTTTTTTTCTTCTGCTGAAGAACTGACCTTGTACATTTTTTCTCTCTAATTAGCACCTGGACACAAGCAGATTTCTAGCTTTTTCGTTGCTGCTCTGAAATAAATCCTATGATATACAACTCTATTCTATTTTCATAATCAAATTCATGACAGCTTCCCTCTTACACCCAGGATTGCAGCTACAGACTCCTTGCCATATCTTGGGGCACTTATTAAACCAACAGCAATGTTAACATACAGAAAATAAATTGAAGTGATTTAAGGATTGAGTTATTTTGAAAAGCCCCTGCCAGTTCGGTGAAATTCATTTTTATAGCTAAAATCCGTTTTAGACATGTATCATGAGCCCGACAATTTTACATCAATTTGAATAGTGCTAAAATGCAATTGTTATGGCCAGTGTAACAGCAGTCTTAAGTCTCATGTATGTGATTGTTGGAATTAGCCTTTTCCCCTCTTTCCTTTTTTCTAAACAGAGTTCAAGGAATGTTTCTCTCTCTATGATAAGAAACAAAATGGGAAGATCAAGGCCAGTGATCTTATCATGGTGATGCGCTGCTTGGGGACAAGTCCCACCCCTGCAGAGGTGGGAAGGCATCTTCAGCTACACAAAGTTGGTTAGTAGAGAAAAAAAAAGGAAAATATCAGTAATTTTTACAGACATATATTTTAGAGCTATATGAGCCTGATTCCACCATTACAATACATAGCCATGTGTTTTTCTCTATAGGTTAAAGATCAGGTATGTTGGTGTTAGAGTTTTGTCAAGAGAACAAGCTGGTCCTTACAAACACTCTTTTCCAATAACACAAGTGGCGACTCTACACATGGACATCACCAGATGGGCAATATCGAAATCAGATTGATTATATTCTCTGCAGCCAAAGATGGTGAAGCTCTATACAGTCAGCAAAAACAAGAACTGGAGCTGACTGCAGCTCTGATCATCAGCTTCTCATAGCAAAATTCAAGCTTAAACTGAAGAGAGTAGGAAAAATCACTGGGCTACTCAGGTATAATCTAAACCAAACCACTTATGAATACACAGTGGAAGTAAAGAACAGATTTAAGGAACTTGATTTGGTGGACAGAGTGCCTGAAGAACTTTGGATAGAGGCTCGTAACAATGTACAGGAGGCAGTAACAAAAACCATCCCAAAGAAAAGGAAACACAAGAAAGTAAAGTGGCTGAGAAGAGAAGAGAGGGGAAACAAAATGCAAGGGTGATAGGAAAAGTTACAGAAAATTTAATGCAGGTTTCCAAAGAATAGCAAGGAGATACAAGATGGCCTTCTTAAATGAACAGTGCAAAGAAATAGAGGAAAATAACAGAAAAGGAAAAACCAGAGATCTGTTCAGGAAAATTGGAGATATTAGAGGAACATTTTGTGCAAAGATGGCCATGATAAAGGACAAAAATGGGAGGGACCTAACAGAAGCAGAAGACATCAAGAAGAGGTGGCAAGAATACACAGAGGAATTATATCAGAAAGATTTGGATATCCTGGCCAACCCAGACAATGTAGTTGCTGACCTTGAGCCAGAAATCCTGGAGAGTGAGGTCAAGTGGGCCTTAGAAAGCCTGGCTAACAACAAGGCCGGTGGAGGTGATGGCATTCCAGTTAAACTATTTAAAATCTTAAAAGATGATGCTGTTAAGGTGCTACATTCAATATGCCAGCATGTTTGGAAAACTCAGCAGTGGCCAGAGGATTGAAAAAGATCAGTCTACATCCCAATCCCAAAGAAAGGCAGTGCCAAAGAATGCTCCAACTACCATACAATTGCACTCATTTCACACGCTAGCAAGGTTATGCTTAAAATCCTACAAGGTAGGCTTCAGCAGTATGTGGACCGAGAACTCCCAGAAGTACAAGCTGGATTCCAAAGGGGCAGAGGAACTCGAGACCAAATTGCTAACATGCCCTGGATTATGGAGAAAGCCAGAGAGTTCCAGAAAAATATCTACTTCTGCTTCATTGACTATGCAAAAGCC